AACAAAATTCTGTACTATTCAACAATCAAAAGCCGATTTAGATGGACTGTTCACACTTTATTACATTTATATTTCAATTTCACTCCTAGAAGTTTACCTTACATTTTTATTACAAATAACTTCTATATTGAGTTCCCCTCTTTGGATCTGACTGAAAATCAGCGCTTTAGGGACCTTAAGCATATGCTGAGCCAGCGCCCTTTCAGTTATGTGACAATGGGATGGGACGAACAAGTCGTGCGCCTGATGGTAAGCTACACGCCTATCCATAACAGTTGCAGTGTCACTCAGAGCTTTAAATTGCGTAGATCCGAGGGGCACTGCCACTGCGCCCATCACTCAGAGACATTGACAAGTCCCACGTGCCTGTAATTTCACCAGCACCCTTATCTTCAAAATAGGAACACAGTAATGCTTAAATTACTGCTTGGCGGCGGAAATAGGTAAGGTGGCAGTACTACCCTGGACGAACTCTTTCACAAAAAAAAAATCTGCTACTAAAATTATATCCATGCAATAAAAACTTTTTCGCTGTAAAAATAAAGCTAATAATAGACGAAACTTTTTTGACCGGCTTAAATCGTTTCTGTGTCGCTATATGCGGTGTCCCCCTAGGCACTCGTCTAGATCCAATTTTAGTTAACTCCCGTGGGATCGTGTTGGAATCTCGTGACCTAGACTGATCGGATTGCCGTCGCAATAGCTGCATTTGAAACTTTAATGAGATTGACTCAAGACAGCTCTGTATGTATAGTACGCACGCGCGAACGCGTAGTCTCACGCTCTACCGCTAGGGTAAAATAGTTATGTGGTGTGGAAATTTTTAATAATTTAGATTACATTTTTCTAGCATATTTGTAAATAACTAAATAACTTAGTACAAAATCACATAACATGCTTTTACAGTTGCAGTGTTGCTCATAGCCATAAATCGCAAAGATCTGAGGGGTATTGCTACTGCGCCCGTCATCCTGGAACATAAGTTAATAAGTCCCATGTGCCTGTAACTTCATCAGCAACCTACCCTTGAAAACGGGGATGCAGTAATGCTAACATTACTGCTTGGCGGCAGAAATAGGTGAGGTTGCTACCTGGAGCTCTACTGTTTTTAAAAATGATGGAAATGAAAAACCTTATTTATTACTTATTAATGAACTCCAAGGCCTAGCGGCAAGTATTATGATAGTTAGATGTGATACGAACCAATAACAATAAAATTTTACGAACTTGGTGGCCACGTGAGTGGCACTACGAGTGATGACATCCCAGGTTCGATTGTCGGTACGACCAATTTACTCGTAGATATCGAAATTTTGTAAATTGATTATGTTCTGAGTAGTATGGGTAGTGTTTCTGAGTTTCATTACTCTGGTGTTCTTAGAAATTGTCTACATTGAACTATTTTATTTAAATTGTTCTTCCTAGTTACGTAGATAATTTCATCAGAGTCACTCTGCCTCGAGTGCAGTTTTGAATATTTTTATGGAACTTAGTAATTTATCTATGAATATTTACTTAAAATTACCAATTCCAATTATAATACGATTATAACTACTACCTACAGTAATTCTCAGAAGAATTACGATCAGATATCCAGCCATTCATGTCATGGCGGTGTTGATAACAATTTTTTCATATTGGGTACAGAAAAGACATATGTTCGTAACTTTTACGATGTGGTAATACAACGTGGTGACGTTTTATAATGACATAATTAATGGATCTTGCTGGTTTCACGGTTGGTGAAATACTGTGTCAAAAAACGGTGTTTGAATTTCAATTTATACAATAAAAACAACAAACAACAAACAACAAAACAAACAACAAAAAACAAAAGAGTAAACCCGCGCTACGTCGCCTACGGCAGGTAACGGTCGGCGACGCAGCGCGAAGTCACTAAGCGTCGGCGACTTGTTCCGCCTCCAGCAATGCAAAGTGTAACTTAGCTTCTCAACAATAAGGTATATTTTTTTGAAAGGCATATTGCGAGGTAGATGCAATGTAGTATAGAATTTCATATTTACTAAACAAAGTCGACATTTCTTTGAAAGCAAAGCAAAAAGCAGCGCTGCGTCGCCCTGCGCCGCCGACTGTCGCCTGCCGTCGCCGACGCAGCGCGGCTTTTCTCTTTTGATAGAAGCAATATATACTTTATTTAGTAGATAATATGTTCTATATTATAATATAATGCATATTATAAAGTGCGCCTGGCGTAGCTAGACGTCTTCCGCTGCCGCTTGCTGCCGCCTCTACTGTAGTCGTGTTTAAGCAATTACGGAAATGTACTTTCTTAAAGTGTTTTTGGCCGCCTAGGTATTTTGGGTAGTACCGCGGAGCGAACTTCGTAGTCGTATGTTCCGAGTTCGATTCCCGGTAGAACCAATTTCGAAAATGAACTTTGCTAAAGTGGTTTTGGCTAATTTGTTCTGGGTTGTATGTAATGTATACTTTATTAAAATAAAGAATATGTTCTATAGTATATTGCATTTTATAAAGTGCGCCCACCACACCTCTTTGCAGCCCGCCGCCCCTTGAAGGAGCTTCGTTTTCATGTATTTGTTTAATGAAATGGTGCCTTATTTTGTTGAGAATAAAGTTTATTATAATATTGCATTGCTCGGTTTAATGCAGCCCCGCGCCGCGTCAGCGGCGCCGCGCGATGTCACCTACGGTCGCTAACCGTTACGTACCGTAGGCGATGCAGCGCGGCTTTACTTTTTTGTTTTTGTTGTTTGAAGAAATGTATACTTTATTTAGTGGAGAATATGTTCTATAGTATATTGCATTTTATAAAGTGCGTCTACCGCAGCTCTCTGCAGCAGTTTGTTTAATGAAATATTGCCTTATTTTGTTGAGGATAAAATTTATGTTGCATTGCTCGCTTGAACGCAGCCCGCGCCGCGTCGCGTAGCGTCTACGCGATATGAATCAAGCCTAAGTGTAATTTAACAGCTCAGGCGAGGAAGGCTTCAAACTGCTTTTGGCGATGAAGCACCATGCAAGACGACTATTTATAGCTAGTTTGCAGAATTAAAACATGGTCTTTTGAATCTCAGTGACGAATATCGTGATGAAACAACAAAAACATCGATGCTGTGTGCCTTATGACCAAAACAGACAGACATGTGACATACCATGAGAATCGGGCGTCTTTAGGCATAGGCATGAGTCAATGTGTATTGTACATATAATCAAAATGTATTGTACATAAACATTTGGGTGTGAAAAAGCTGTGTTTTCGGTGAATCCCACACAATTTGACTGAGGCTCAAAAAAACGGATCGCGTCACTTGTTGCAATGCCATGTTTACCAGATTCAACGAATGGGCGTAAAATTTGGTGTGGGATATAATAACATGTGACGAAACATGGATTTATAGTTACGATCCCTAAACAAAACAGCAATCGAGAGTATAAATTTCGAGATGAGCCGACCAAAGTGACGCGCGCGCGAAGTGCCTCTAAGCGGATGATTGCTTCTTTTTTTAATAAAACTGGACACGTGGCTACCATTGCTTTGGAGAATCGTTGCATCATAAATAGTGATTGGTACACGACCATTTGTTTGCCGGAAGTTATTGACAAACTCCGTGAAATAACCGTAAACGCCGTATCATCTTGCACCATGATAATGCCTGTGAGAACTTCACACGGCCAGACAGACAAATGAATTTTTGAAGGTGAACAACGTTGACCTTATGAGCCAGTACAGTCCCGACCTGGCACCTTGTAACTTTTATTTATTTTCAAAAATTAAGAACCGATTACGCGGTCGACGATTTTCATCACCTGAACCTGCTGTCGAACAATATGAAAAATATGTTTCAGAGATTGTCATGGAGGAGTGGCATAAATGTTTTCAAAATTGGTTCATTCGTATGAAAAAGTGCATTGACGTTAACAGAGTATATTTTGAGAAACAATAAATTAATTTCTGACCATGTATAGTATTTTTAACCGACTTCAATAGAAGGAAGAGGTTCGCAATTCGACTGTTTTTGTTGTATGTATGTTACGCGATAACTCCGGTATTTGTGAACCAATTTTCATGATTCTTTTTTGTTGGAAAGTAAAGTAAAGAGGTACCCACCTCCATAGCGGTCCCATTAAATTTTGAAGAAAATCATCCACTTGTAAGGGTGGCTGTTCACGCATGAAGATTCATTTTTATAAATAGCGCCTAAATTTTAGTATAATAAGCAATTATTTCAATAGTTGATTTTGTTATTTTTTAATTCAAGGTATTTTTCTCTCTTCTATATACTTTGAGTAGTGAGAACCGATTTTTATTATCTCCTGTGTCAAGTCCCGTATAGTGGCGAACTAGGAGATGAATCCGGGCTTGCGCACTTTCCGGTAAGCGATTTCAATGAAACTAGGTGTTATATGTAATTCCACGTACTTTTGAGGTCGGTTTTTTTAGTATTCTGTACTGAGATTATTTTCTTATTCATTCCGGATACTTATAGTGCGCCGCACGTATATAGTAAGTAACGACTGAAAAATGAAAAAAATAAGAACAATTTTGCTTTGACTGGTTTATGCTATAAGCGATGCAAAAGTAATGACATTTTGCAATTAAATGATTTTGTTTTGTTTAGTTATGTAGCAGGCCTTTAGTGTTAAGCACCTTAATAACAATTATGACGTGATTTTTAAGTAAACATTTCGATATATTATTATTACGAAATTTCACTTTCCAACTTTAGCCAACTATGATATCTATATAATGGAACGGATTTACGAAATTTATGTATTAATTTATTTCAATGTTTAAGTTATCTCTTAACGAATGATTGCTTCTACAAAGCCTGTAAGCAAGCGAGCATTGTAATTTTTGCCTCACATGGTGGCTTCTTAACTAACTTAGTATCGAACCCTTATAGTTAGCGTAGAGTCTGTAATACATAGACCTGGTTTTGTTAGTCAGTGTCAGCTATCGAGTTGCGTATAGATTATAGTGTTTCCTTACAAATTTTCATCTACTATTTTAATTACAGGTTCAATGGGCCCAGGTGTCCCAGAAAATATAACAGTGACGTTCCTAAATCCAACCACGGTACGAGTTTCGTGGTCCACCACGGCGGACTTGGTGGAGAAGTATGATGTCACATATAAACCTTCCGACGCGAGGTAAGATACGTGTGCGAATGTTTTTCAGCTTTTCTCTGTTTCATTCCTGTCTGTGCTTATTTTCTTTTAGAGTCAAACAGTAGAACATCAATTATAAATAGTAGAAATAATTATTAAAGGTCATTGGGCCTAGACTATATAATTCGAGAATGATATTCTAGATAACTAATTAAATGAGAGCTTAGAACTATTATTTTGTAATGTCGTTTAATTGAAAATGAAAGGCGTCAGAAAAATAACACTATTTTCGAGTTATTCATAGTAGCTAAACATTGCCTCAAGCATGTTATAAAAAGTCATTAATTTATCAACGAGAGTGCTACACGAGTAGGTGTTACAAGGTGTAGGTGCTACAAGGTGTAGGTGCTACAAGGTGTAGGTGCTACAAG